CACGGTGGAAGGTATTCACCATCAATGTCCATGTTGAAAGGTCTACTAATAAAGTTGGGATGTCTTCTAAATTTTTTATTAATACCATAAAAAAAAAAAAAAAGAAGACCTTGGAATTCAAAAAATATATTAAAGCTGCTGCTGTATACAATTCAAAGACACGTGCCCCAAAAGACCCCAAATAAAGAGGAACTGTCACTTCCTAAGCCGCTTCATTGGTTTTGCTTGTTATGGGACCGGGCTGGAGGAGAAGGTCTAGGGCAGGGATGGCCAAACTGCAGCCCTCAAGCTGTGGTGGAACTACGAATCCCATGAGGCTTTGCAAGATTCTCACAGACATGACTCCCGGAGAGAGATGCTTCATGGGATTTGTTGTTTCACCACAGCTGGAGGGCCGGAGTTTGGCCATCCCTGGTCAATGGAATCTGTCCGTGAAGGTTCCTCATTCATCCAGGTCACTTGGTATATAGATTAAAAAATAAAAATAAATCAAGGCAACTGGACTTGTTGTATTTTTCTCCAGACATTTTGCTTGTCATCCGACCAGCTTCCCCAATTCAGAAAACTAGTCGGACGACCAGCAAAACGTCTTCAAGAAAAAATACAACAAGTCCAGTTCCCTTGATTTATTTTTTTAAAGATATATCTATGGAATTTGTTTTGATTTGATGCCACCTGAAAACAAGGGGAAAAAATCTTTGAGGGCCCATTCACACTTAAGTGTTCCATTGCAGTGCATTATTGTACACGGGCCAAGGTATTGGTTAAGGCAGCCCTTCCAACAGGGGTGTAACTACAGATCACATGGCCCCATTACAAGACAATGTGATGGGTCGCCCCCCCCCCTGATGAGCTGTCTCGGAGTTGTGACCAATGATAGCAAGATCCCTCTAGTCCAGGGGTAGCCAAACTCCGGCCCTCCAGCTGTGGTGGAAATACAAATCCCATGAGGCATTGCAAGATTCTCCCAGCCACAGACAGGACACCCGGAGAGAGATGCATCATGGGATTTGTAGTTTCAACCAGAGCCGGAGGGTCGGAGTTCGGCTACCCCCTGCTCTAGTGCATCCGACGTCCGCTCTACACAGGAGACTTTACAGGGGATTATGGTTGTCGCCAACTGAAACCACTTAAATGATACAGTACTGTAATATCTCCAACATGTCCTGTGTTTAAATTTGCCTCAACAGCCTCATGGTGCCCCCTTCCACCACCAGGCCCCATAGCAGCTGTCTGGGCTGCTGTGGCTATAGCCATGCCCACCTCCTGCGCCCCATAACAGCTGCCTGGGCTGCCATGACCATAGCTACGCCACTGCCTTCCAACACCAGGCCCCATAGTAGCTGTCTGGGCTTCTATGGCTATAGCCATGCCCCCCTCCTGCGCCCCATAACAGCTGCCTGGGCTGCCATGACCATAGCTACGCCACTGCCTTCCAACACCAGGCCCCATAGTAGCTGTCTGGGCTTCTATGGCTATAGCCATGCCCCCCTCCTGCGCCCCATAACAGCTGCCTGGGCTGCCATGACCATAGCTACGCCACTGCCTTCCAACACCAGGCCCCATAGTAGCTGTCTGGGCTTCTATGGCTATAGCCATGCCCCCCTCCTGCGCCCCATAACAGCTGCCTGGGCTGCCATGACCATAGCTACGCCACTGCCTTCCAACACCAGGCCCCATAGTAGCTGTCTGGGCTTCTATGGCTATAGCCATGCCCCCCTCCTGCGCCCCATAACAGCTGCCTGGGCTGCCATGACCATAGCTACGCCACTGCCTTCCAACACCAGGCCCCATAGTAGCTGTCTGGGCTTCTATGGCTATAGCCATGCCCCCCTCCTGCGCCCCATAACAGCTGCCTGGGCTGCCATGACCATAGCTACGCCACTGCCTTCCAACACCAGGCCCCATAGTAGCTGTCTGGGCTTCTATGGCTATAGCCATGCCCCCCTCCTGCGCCCCATAACAGCTGCCTGGGCTGCCATGACCATAGCTACGCCACTGCCTTCCAACACCAGGCCCCATAGTAGCTGTCTGGGCTTCTATGGCTATAGCCATGACCACCTCCTGCGCCCCATAACAGCTGCCTGGGCTGCCATGACCATAGCTACGCCACTGCCTTCCACCACCAGGCCCCATAGCAGCTGTGGCTATAGCCATGCCCACCTCCTGGCCCCATAACAGCTGCCTGGCTGCCATGGCCATAGCTACACCACTGCCTTCCACGACCAGGCCCCGTAACAGCTGTCTGGGCATCTATGGCTATAGCCATGCCCACCTCCTGCGCCCCATAACAGCTGCCTGGCTGCCATGGCCATAGCTACACCACTGCCTTCCACCACCAGGCCCCGTAGCAGCTGTCTGGGCATCTATGGCTATAGCCATGCCCACCTCCTGCGCCCCATAACAGCTGCCTGGGCTGCTATGACCATAGCTACGCCACTGCCTTCCACCACCAGGCCCCATAGCAGCTGTGGCTATAGCCATGCCCACCTCCTGCGCCCCATAACAGCTGCCTGGGCTGCTATGACCATAGCTACGCCACTGCCTTCCACTATGAATGGGCTGCCAACAGATGAAAAACCCTACATGGCCCTTGAGCAACGCAGCACACCACAATGCACACGTACTGGGGTAGACTGTGGTGTGTTGGGCTCTACTGTACATTGGGATGGCCATCACAATGAATGGAACCACAAAGCATTACACAGCGCAGGTGCACTGCCATGCATGGGAGTAACACAAGTTAAACGCGTGCACTGCCATAAGTGTCAACAGGCCCTAAAAATGAAACAATTCAAGGAAACAGATTAAGAGTTCCCTTAGCTAACCTATGGTGGATTCCTTCTACAACACTTACTCCGTCCTTCCTTCACTAAAGATCAACTCCAGTAGCTTTGTCACACTCTTAAAATGTTTTCAAGCAACATTCATTAGGCTACTTTCACACAAGATTCACCTATTTCACAGCTTGGCAAGGGCAAAGAGACACCGTGTCCTGGGGAACTCCTGATCAACATTCGCACAGCCGGCACATTTGAACAATGGTACCATAGTCTTCTTAGTGGTTTCTCAGCATCATACAGTCTCCACCCCTTATTTCATTGCTTCTCGGGTTACAAGAATTGGCGGAAGTCCTCGCTACGCATATACCGCTCTCTGCATTAAGCCAAAGTGACGGCTTGTTTTTGGCCAAGGTCTCAGAGTTTGAACTACAGAATAAGAATGGGGAGGGTCTGAGCCCGAACGAGGTAATTAGGACTCCGGGCTAAAGTACATTGGCAGTTATAATCCACTAAGCAATGTGACCTCTCAAGTAAGCAATGTGACCTCTCGGTGACATTGAGACTCATCTTGATGTTTTTCAGTTACAAATTGTACAAAATTGGAACACATTGTGGAAAATTTGCTCTGCCAATGAGCTGCTGGTTTCAACCATTTCACTCATTTTTACATGTGTGTGGGTTTACCAGTTTTCTCTTTACCCCATTTTTTTTTTAGTAAAATGTATCTCTTCCCCCCTCCATTTTATCATTGTAGCCAAGGAACCTTCTATGGATGGGTAACATACATACATGGGATAGTTAGACAGATCTTTTTTTTTCCATTTTTAGATAATCGGGAAGAATTAGAGCAGGGGTAGGCAAGTCTGTCCCCAATGTATTTCCTGCTTGAGTTGGGGTGGAAAAATGACACAACCCAACGCACACCCGTCCACTCCAAATGAGATGCCACCTGAGGTAACCACATCAGGCTGCCTCATTATATTAATGGCCCTGGGAGTAGGCATATTTCAGCCCTCCACCTGTCATGCAACTACAAATCCCATGAGGCATAGCAAGAATGGCCGCCCCCAGGCATGATTTCCAGAGAGAGATGCATGACAAGAACTGTGGTTTCACTACCGCTGGACTACCAGAGTTTACCTACCCCTGGATTAGAGGATAGAGTAAGGAAGGATTAAAGGCCCTGTCAGGGTTTTGGGTCACCCGTGTCCCATTGGGGAGATCTCCCTTCACTTCCTGTCCAGTTAGTTGTCACCGGAACAAAACACCCCAAAATAAAAGCTTTTCCTTCTATTTCTGTTCTGGTGACAAGTCAGATTTTTAGATTGGCACCAGGAAGTGAGGGGCAATCCTCATCGGGACCAGTAGAGACGGCCTTTAGATCCCTTAACATTTTGCTCCTGCAAATGGAGGAGTGGGCCCCCAGAAGGAGCACGGGACTAAAGCGGAGGGACCCCTCTACCAGCTCACTACGTCTAGGAAGGGCTAGTTAGTTTGGTTGCTGGCAAATGTGGCCAGTACCCGGGCAACACTGCCCTGCCAAGGACCTATTTCAAATGCATGTGAATGGTTGGAAGTGGTTTGCAGAACAGCAGATTAATAGGACTGCTCATGTCGTTTAGCTCTTAAAGAATTTTAACATTAACCTCCACAGGGTTCGTTTAACAAAAAAAAAAAAGAAGAAACTATATATATATATTTATACAACGAAAAATACATTTTTTTTTTCTAGTGGTTTTTCTTTAAGACAGTGATAGTGCTAAAAAAAAAAGGCATCTGGATTTGGTTGTCTTTGTACCCCAAGTACATCGAAATGACTTCTCTGAGACGACGCAACATCAATTCATAAAAATCAATTATAAAATAGTGTTGACGGGAGACCAACGTTGTTTGGTTTTGCACATTTAAAAAAAAAAACACCAGCAGGGAACCCTCACAGTGGTCTACTGGTGGCACTTGAATCTTCTTTAAAAACAAAACAAACTGCAAAATAGAACGATTCCCTTCTCATCCAGTTACTCAGTTTTTTCCTGTCTCACCAAAAAATGGTCACGCTTGCCTCTAGCCACCAATCCGGGAGCATCTTGCGAGACTCGTCTTGATGCTCTGAAGACGGCGACAACATAAAAAAGGACCAAGAGATGACCGTGTGGTGGGAAAAAAATGACTTGGAATGTCCACTATCTACCCAGGAACTAAAGGATAATGCATTAAAAAACACAGTTGGGCACGTAGACCCGGAAAAGTGCTAACAAAATTTAGGTCTCCATCCAATTTTGCCAACCAAACCCTGTTTTTTTTTTTATGTGTTCAGATCCTACGATGGTCTCTAATACATCCACGGCCAAAGAGAGCTGATTAGTCTTTACACGTGTACACCTCCTCCCTTTGCGTGCACTGTTTACATTCCACATAGCAGCACCAGCGGACCTGACACTGGCAAGGCCTCGTCACCACCTTGCTCTGAGTATTATGTCCCCGCCCGCAGCAAATGCTCTCGCAGTTTTTGTCTTTGTAACACCTCCTCCCCGACGTGCCGGGAGAAAACCTGCTCATCCGACAGAAGCTCGGAGAGTCATCGATGTAGATGAGGTCCGTAGTCCTTGGAATTTGGTCGCTGTGACCGGAGGCGGGCTTTTTGGGTGGAGAAATGTCCCCTTCGCCAGTCGCTTCGTTGGTGGTGCTTCCTACTTTGAGAGAAGTCTCGTATTTTTGCTTCAGCTGTTTTCCAATCTCGTGGAAAGGTGAAAGCTGTCTCCAACAGGTGCGGACTGTGCAGGATCCGGAAACCCCGTGGCATTTGCAAGTGGTCTTCACTCCGGCTTTAATCACCTGAAAAGGATTTAGGAGAGGGTTAGGACGCCAGCCGTACAATAAAAAACAAAAAATTACAAATAAACCCTGCGGGATATTCTCATTGTTCCTTAAAGGAGAACTATGAGTGCTTTTCCCTCAGCCTCATAATCTGAGCCGACCTGTGACAATGAGACTGTCACAGGTCGGCTCAGTAGATCGGGAAGTGAGCGAACACATACCGGTGCTCGCTCACTTCTCGATCCGGTGCCGGCAGTGAGCAGTGACAGGGGAGGGACTGGATTCCCCCCTCCCCGCTCCGATCCGCCAGCGCTGACTGGCGGAACGGATGGGGCGGGTACAGCTGGCTCTGCCTCTAGATATGCAGAGCCAGCTGTCACTCATGCAGATGAGTGGATCCAGACATAAAATTGTATACCGCGAGCTACTGAGCCTAGGGTGACGGAAGGACGCTAGTTTGTGTCCTCCTGTTACCCTTAGGAAAACTATGGGGAAAAGCCCTAACCCCATAGTTCTTCTTTAATAAAAATATTTCTATAAAAGATTTTTTGACACAATTTCCATATCGTATATTCAATGGAAGTGTTGATATAACCTCCTCAAAGGCTAGACCGACTCCCCCAAAAAGACTGCGTCCAATTTCCATTTAAAAAAAAGGAGATATTTTTGCTGGGGGAAACAAAACAAAAATCTAAGTCATTTATGACCATTGCAAAGGAAATTGACGCCATTCATTGCATATGTTAAAGACACCAACAAAGAAAACTACGCAGAATGGACTAGGGATGCACCGATATATCGGCCGCCGAAACATATCGGCCGAAAATGGCATTAAACGCCGAAAGTGCCATTTTCCTGCCGATACATCGGCGCATCCCTGTTTTCTTTCCTCCCCGCTGGGCGCTGCTCTGTGTCCCAGCGGGGAGGAGAGAAACTCTAACAGCCGGCCGAGCGCTGCGGGAGAAGAGCGATGTGAGCGGCCGTTGTCTCTCCTCCCTGCACCGCTCAGCCTCCTATCACAGTCCGGCAGAGCGGTGTGGGGGCGGAGACAGCCTGCGCTGTCACAGGAGGCTGGGCTCTCCTCCCTGCACCGCTCGCTCAGCCTCCTGTGACAGCTGTCAGGATGGAGAGCGGTACCAGCAGTCAGTGATCGCTGAGTGTTTGTAGATAATTGAGGACAGAGTATGGTTACTATATCCTCAATTATGAATGAATGGGAAGTGATCTACATCACTTCCTGTTCATTCATGATTGTAGTTATAGTAAACATACTCTGTCCTCATGTTATTAATGAACAGGAACACTCAGAGGATTCCTGTTCATTGATAACAGGGGCTGCAGAAAAAGAGATTGATTACTTTTTCTAATTTAAAAAAGGGAAATATTAGGGGTCTTAGACCCCCAATATTTTCCAAAGCCCCTAAAAGTAAAGTAAAAAATAAAAATATTTAAAGCTGCTTGAGCAATAAAAACTTGTTGGGTTTGAAAAACGGTTGACTAAAGCTTTAAAATAGTCCTTGCATCTATCGAACATATCAAGCTTGAGCTTTAGGCCCCGTTCACACTTAGCGATTTATCGCGCGGTAATTCCCGCGATATCGCGGCAATTTACCGCGCAATATCGCTCTTCAATGCTTCTCAATGGGGCAAAGGGTCCTGCTGTCGCGGGTCGTGCGTCGCTACAGCAGGACCCTTTTTGGAGTGGATTTAGCTGCGGTTCAAGCTTGCTCAATGCAAGCATTTGCGCGATATCGCGCAAAATGCAAATGGTGCGACAAACGCGCGATTTGCGAATCAACTGTGAATGGGGCCTTAATCTGGACCAACCTCATCCAGCTTGGTCTTCATGCAAGTGAAGAGAAGAGTTTTATAATCACAATTTTAGCTCCATCACGTATTAACATCATGCAACTTGTTTGTAGTGGAATCGCCTGCTTTTGTCTTACAGATGGTGAAAGGTCGGAAGAGTACTCAAAGTGGACCTCTACGCCAATGTTAAATTAGAGGGAAACGCTGGCAAACTCTGAAACGCACTGCGCAGCAATTGAATAAAATCCTGTTTTCACATCTCCGTGCTGCTGACCTGCTCTGCAGGCTTCCTATGCACATGCACTCCAGCGACGGCTGCATGGCATTTCTCAGGGCGAGTTTCTTAATGTGACAACAGTGGACCATGACTACATTATGTGTGCAAAAACAGCAGGACAACCGTTGAAACACAGGGTCACCCAACAGGAATTGCCTATAACAATGGGAAAAATCATGGGGTATGCTTTTGATGGAGGCAGCAGATTTAGGGCAAAGAAGGACATGTAGGGCATAGTTACAGTGTCTCTGCAAAGGGCCCCCTGACCCACCTGACTTCCCTGCCCTGCACTCCATCACTGCTCCTTCCTATGTGGCAAGTCCACTAGTGTCACCAGATACAATGGAGGAAATTGCAGCAAGGCAAGTATACTTGGTCATGTGGGGGAAGGGGGCGCCTTTCGCAGACACTCTGTCACTTTGCCTTCCATGGGGAAGGCAACAACGTCACTTTAAAGCTGCGGAACCCCCAAACACTTTGAACTACTAGTTAAATTAAACCTCCACCACAAACCCTGACCCTAGCATTAAGACAATCTCGCAACCTTCTATTAACCCCCCCCAGCTCATTTTCACTAGGAGCAGGGGCGTCCGGTGACCACAGTCCAAGGACAAAGCAGCAACTGTGCCAATGATGTGAAGGATATACGATTCCAAGACCATCGTGCAATAGACAGCCCAAGAGAAGAAGGGTAAGAAGTGGCCAATCAAAGCAGTCACAAACTTTTTCAGCAGTGTATGGAAGGCCATGACCATTCATTACACACGTGCTACAGGATGGGGGGGAGGGCTGTCCTCTTTTTCCTGGCCACTCACCCCTTATTGGTTTATAATTTTATCATGTAAATTGACCCCCTCACTGACCCTTATTAAGCCGTTTATACGAGTATAAATTACCACTATGCACATGCAAACAGGAATAAGTTTGACTGTAAGCCCTCAGCAGCTCGTTATTTATCCTCAATTATCAAGAAAGAAAAATAAAAATAAAGATAGCAACCCAAAAATGGTCCATGAACTTTTTAAAGTCCCTTCATAACCAGCAAGTGTTAACACGGTGTAGGGCATTGCTATTTGATCCCATTTACTTGGCACGTCAGGAGTTAACTGTCATTTTCCTTGTTCTAGCTCTTAAAATCATTTGTGTTTCGAATTTCTCTGCAGAAATATAATGAGCGGAGGGGGCCCCTCTCTCACCCTCCCTCCCCCCCGCACTCCATGGAGCAGAAACATGAACGGCCATCTCTGGGAACACTGGGCCTACCCGTACAGTTCAATGAGGGGAGAGACAATACAGGCCAGGCACGGTGAAATGCCATGATCCGCCTGGTAACTGCATCTCCCTGTAAGGTGCCCCTTACGTCTGTGGGACATGCCTGGCCAAACACACCTCAGCGAAGGTCGGCCCTTGGGGGATTAAGAAACTTAGCAACCGTAGTGCATTCTACTTGGAAAGTCCTGCCTAATGATACTTTGCCGAGAAACATGGGACACATTTAATTAAAACATCCCGTACTCGAGCCGAGCGCAACCTGTGTGAGCGCACTTAACTGCATCATTACCGGCGGGGAACCTCAAAAGCGGCTCCGAGGACAAACGTCCAATCTACTCACTTCCAGAGATTACATTTGAGATTAGGATCTACTACAAGATCTGAAAGCGAGATAACCTTCTGAAAGGTATTACATCTAAAATGAAAACATTTATATTCTTAGACATTTCCTATACGGAATGATATGAAAAAAATATACAGTTCATACTCCTTAACCTCTACTCACTAACTGGTACATAATTCTCTTTGTAAGCAGTTTGTAAAGCGTTATTTTTTTTCTAAAAAAAACTTTATTCTCTCCAGTGTTCCCCCACCACACACCTTCCAACCCCCACCATCCATTCCCTTCCAGCACCCCTACACTAGTTCTATTCTCTCCAGTGCCCCCACCATACACCTTCCAACCCCCCCATGGCCCCCACCACACACCTTCCAACCCCACCATGGCTCCCACCACATACCTTCCAACCCCACCATAGCCCCCACCCCACACCTTCCAACCCCACCATACACCTTCCAACCCCACCATACACCTTCCAACCCCACCATGGCCCCCACCACACACCT